ATGGAGATGTACCATGCACTTCTTTATAATGCGTGGATATTAGGAAACCTGTAGTTGCTCTTTAATCTTGTCAACATAAGCGCATATGCATCTGATGATTCCTTCAAGTTTTCCGAGTTTTTTTCTCCAATGATATTTCTATTTTTCGTTTTCAGATTGAGTTCTGTTAGAAGAACGTATGGCTGGCAAATAGTAAGTACAATACTCTGGGCTGTGCTAAACTACGCTTAGTGGTAGTTTGGCAATGCTGTGAATGGGAAAATCCTGTCCTTCATTGAATTTCTCTAACTTTTTCTATCCTGGAAGACCTTCGATTTCGTTTCACCAGGACTTCCTACCTGAGTCTGTATGTCTTGGACATTATTAATACCTCAGGCAGCTGTGTTTTTGCTCAGAACAGAAGTCGTTATGAGGACAATGTCTGTTTGTCTTTTCCCTTTCTTTGAAGTAGTTTTCAACCTTTTGCTTTCCTTTTGCCTTTCCAGGTATGCATGTGTGACGTTAACTGATTTTGATGTTCTTAGACCTGAGCTAGCAGTCTCTGGAGGTAGTCATGGGTGCAGAACGTGTTGTTGCCTTGGCGTTGCGTGTTTCAGTACTGTGTCATGATATGGTAATATGTTTCAAGATCCAAATTAAAATCCCACGTTGTGAGGATGTGCATGCTTAGGTCAGGGGGTGTTGGCACTGGTGTAAACATGTGAAGCCATTCTTTATGTAGAGTTGGGTGAGTGCATGCATTGTAGCACTGGGGTCTTCATGTCACCTGACCAACAGCGCAGGTTCTTTCCCTGCCTGCTTTGCTTTGGCAGTCTGTGTGCTGAATTCTTTTCACTCATGTGGCAGATTGTAGTCTCCCCTCTGGCCCCTCAGAGCTAAAGATGCCCTGGATACTTGCAAACACACAGATTTTGTTCTGTTCAGTCTGATTTTCTGTGTACAATAAACGGTCTTTTTTGTGTTAGTTTTCAAATGTGTCTGTTGATTTCTAGTTCCAGTAGCTTTTGTCATCGTGCTTTACAAATCTCACCTCTTCCTGTTACCATCTGCTCACTCAGGTCTGGCTGCTTTTCCTTGTTTTTCTTTTGTTTCCTCAGTGTTGTACTGGCAGCACTGTGCAAAAAGCTTGTAGTTCTTTTCCTGTCTTTTTCTGACTTGACAGGTTCAGCTATCGTCTCTACTATACTTACGCATATTACTTGTTCCTTTGCATTTTGTGAGTGTGTCTGATATGCTACCTGTGAAAAACTGTTGTGGATTCATGGGTTTTGCAAAACTTTGTTTTGTTTTATTTTGCGATAGCCTCTGAACCAATGTCAGATGGTAGCAAATTTATTTCACTGTTGCTCCACAAAAGAGATTTAATTGGTGATTTGCAGCTTAAGAGACTTTGTAGTCATTCATGCAAGAAATGCGTTGCTGTCGTGTTTATGATGACTGTAAAGCCATTCAAAATGTAAACTCTTAACTTTTCCTCACTGGATGGAAATAATAATAAAAATAATTAGTGATATTTTTTGGCCTTGTTGAATCTAAGAATCCGTAAGCCAATGCAATTTGACAATGCTGTGGGAAGAAATAGCCCAGTCCTTCCCAGTGGCCTCCTTGATCTTCCCTTTGTGCCAGCACATGCATTTGTACAGCGGTGTAAGACTGAAGAAATAAAGTAGTTGGAGAAAAATGAGCATTTTTCATGTGGACCTCTTTTCCAAGTTGAGGACAGGGTGAACTGTGCATTGTGTGCAAGAAGAGGAGATTTTCATTTATTTACTTCAAAATTAGCATCTGTAATCCCCTGCTAAAACGCCTTTTACGTTAGAGTGTAGATTATGTAAGGTTCCCAAATAGTGTGACAAATTTATCTGGGGAAATATTAGAATAAATCTGTTCACATAGCTTGTAGTGTGTAAGGTACAAAATCCAAAATAACTGTCAAAAACAGAGTACTTTTTTATTTTTCCTGTTTACTCATGTGTATAGATGAAATGTGAAAAAAACGCAAACATGCCTTGAAGCTCCACAAATTCCTTCTGTCAAGCAAACTGGCTAGACACATTCCTGAGTAAAGAGCGCTGCGTAGCAATTGGCAGAATAAAAATTTAGGTTGTTTAGTAGAAGTGCTGCTTTTACCCTGAGTATTTAAACATGAAAATTCAAGATGCAGAATTTCAGTTTTTCAACTGTGAGATGTCATCTCCAATACCACAATAATGCCTGTTTCTGTTAAGAATAATGTTTTTCATTATTTGCTACTGAATTTGCCCAAATAGATGTCTTACAAGTGGTAGCCATCTCTCCTGTGAACCGTAGCGTGTGAACCGTAACTAGGATGTAACTTGACCTGGTTGTTCGAAAATGTCACCATTAGTCTGTATGGCCATTTAATCTTTCTTCTCTCTCCTAGGTTGCTGTGCAGCCTGAAGAGTTGACTGGAAACAGCACTGTGGTGGAGGTTACAACACTGGGGTAAGTATGCTATTTTAAACCGTAAGGGGAGAAGCTGGGAAGGGAGCTGGTATGGAATCATGAGTCCAGGAGTGAATCACTCGTTGATGAATTGTCTACAGCTTTGTGTGGGAAGATTTAAAGTGTTGAGAATTTTGAAAGAGGAGAAGCCGGTAGCTGGTAGCATGTTCTTGCTCATGATGAAGGAAAGGAATATGCATGCAGAGTATGAGGACAGGTGCTTAATGCTTCGCTTTTTCATAAAGCTGTAAAACACACTAATCCATTCATCGTTACCGTGTGGTTGCTAATTATAGCATTGTTATTTTCATTACTGCTCAAGTGGAAAACTGGAGAGAAATATGTTTTCCATTAATAGCATGCAAGTTTAGTGATGATGTCAAAACTAGAAGTTGGATATCCTTGACACCATACTCCACTAGTTTTTACTAATTGGCTTTATTAGTTTGTAAGAATGTAATGATAGTAATAGTTTATGTGTGCCAAAAGGAAAGATTTTAGTCTTATTGCACCTTGTATCTTACTATGATAGAACGAATCCAAAGTATTTGTAATGATGTTATTTATTAATTTTTTTCCTCCTGAGGTGGCTTTCTAGAAGATGACCATAGAGGATCTCCCAGAACCTTCCCTAGAAGGAGATTCCCTCATTGAAAGAGAACAGTTCTTATTCCCAAACTCTGAAACATCTGTTACTTTTTCTGTTGCTGCAGCACCAATGCCTTCGGACTGTGGTATGTACTTTTAACAGAAGGTGAATTTGTGATTAGCAGAGAATAAATTTGAATAATAAATTTTAAGAAATGCTATCAACCCTTAATTTATTCCTTCTTTCCAGAAAAAGTTTACTGCTTGTTAAATGAATTCTCTATTATTTTTTAAAGGAAATGAAAGATGAAGACCCATGCTTTTTCTATTTTTCTTATTGTGTATGTTTTAAATTATAATATTTTTTCCTTCTTGGTGTTTCTTCTGTGTGTGTGCGGTCAGATGTTTGTAGTTTTTAAAATCTCAGTGTAGAACTGGATACTGAGTTGAGATATAAAACTGCAGTAATTGAATGTAGTTAAGCATCTACGTCCCATTGAAAACCTCCAGGGTTACACTTTTCCTGTGCTTTCAGTATGTAAACTGTAGAATATAGGGGATATTTCTGTTGGGGATGTGGAGATTTGTGGTGATAAGGACTGTGAAATGAGTGTTAGAAAATTACAGCAAGCATCAGTGTTCAGCTTTCAAAATAATGTCTTCACATGTTTGAATTATAATAGTGTTTTAAGCAGGATATGTAATATTAAAATGTCACCGTAAGTAAGGATCTTCATAGATAGCTACAAATATAATGCCTTTGAATATTGCAGAAGATATTAATAACATCTGTATACCTTAAAAATTATGGCTCCACCTCTGTTTTTCCCATGCATTGATTACTGTAATCAACTGTATTCAGGAAAGGTAAATATATGTAATGTTCTGTCTCTGACACAGACTCAGCAATCTTGAGACCCATTCGATGAGTTAGCACAGGTTGGAAGTTTAACAGTTCCATACGATACGTTTTAGTGCATGAACACATGTCTTGACATGGTTTAGCCCTGTTGTCATAACTTGTCTGGCCTGTTCTCCTCTAAGTACTGCTGTGATTTATTCCATTCTGCTTTCTTATCCCTTAGAAAAATTTTGCATTTGTCCTTCTTTAAACGTTGGTCTGTTGTGATATCTTCTAGTAACACTACAATGCCACTACTATCTGTACTACTCGGTCTATTCCTACTCATTGAATAAGAAAAATTCCTTTTATAGGAGGTCGCTGTCACCTGTGTAACAGTAATATTACTGAATCTGGGTAAAGAAGATTAAACCACAGCAGACAAAGATTCTTGGTCATTACATTAAGTGCATTTATTTTTCCTTAATACAGTTGAGCACTGTAAACAATGCATAGGAAAGACAGAGGTGGAGAAAGTAATGTTTTAAAGTATCCAGATGCTGTTGTCATCCTTTCATGAAACTTTTTAACAGATTTTCTGTAACATTGTTTTGGTTTGCAAACACTACAGCTGATCACCTGCTAAGCACTTCATGATGGTTGTTATTAGTATGTAATATATTCTCAGGTTTTTACCCTAGCATGCTGATTGTAACAGTCTATTAGAGTTCATTTCTGGTGTATAATTAGGTTCAGGTTCATAGCTAGAAATGATCTTGGTAAAGAAAGAATCATAGATGTTGTGTAAGTACATTAATCTTGTTGGCTAGTTGTCGATTTACTTCATAGCTTTCAGTGATAGATCAACTGTGGTTTCTGTGGAAGTGAAGTATTAGTAGATAAATCAGGAGGTCTGTGCCACTGCATGGGGTGTAGGTAAGAAGCACACCTTGTGTAGTGCTGGGAGAGAAGGGTTTTGCTTTTGTTTTTATATGCTAGGGGCAAATAAAAATTCATGCTAAATATCAGTGAAGTTGTCCGTTTTCATTCTCCTTGAATCAAGGCAATACAGTTAGAGGGTCTCTAGATAGCCAGGACGCGAGCTCCGTATGTGCTTTTATCTGTTAATCCAGTCTAGAGTGGTGGCGTGCTCTTTTTGAGGAAAGGTTATGATGATTCATCCAGAGGTAGTTTATACCGTGTCATGCAGCCAGATGGCTGACGCTGTGTTTTACTTAAGCTGTATGTCCGTTCTGAGAGATTTGTACCTGCGACTGCTGCAAGCTGACATTGCACATTTATTGGAAACATTTTTAAAAGGCAACTCTCTGGTAGCTGTAGCGGGGGTAAAAGGTCAGTGTTTTGCATGGTTCAGTCATTTCCTCATGACAGTAGGTTCTGCTTCCATTCCTTCTCCTAATAGCCATTGCTGTTCAGATTATTTCATATAATTTTCCAGAGCTGGAAGAAATTCCACAAATTTAAGATAGAATATGTGTATATACATGCACACACATACACCTGTAAGTAACATGAAGTATCATACTTTAATAATAAGGTGGTATTTCCCCTAGACTTTGAGTTGCCTGAAGCAACATGAGGCTTAAAATCTGAAAATATGTATCTTTTTTCTGATCTTGGTTTGGTGGCTTAATTTTTAAAGATGTTTGTTCCCTGCAGCTGCCATCAACTGGGACTGCTACGTTCATGAAATATCTGAAAATAATGGAGGCCATAGAATGCCTTCCTGATTTGTGCATGTGTTTGTATTTTGGTATGTTTTATGTAAATTGTGATGGAAGAAGAAGGAAAAGACATGTTTTGCAGCATATAGAGAAATCAAGTACTCATTTAATCAGAGACATCAAGAGGCTTGTTTGTGCTTGGGAACAGCTTAGAATCAGCAGTCTTTGGCTAGCTGGAAGCAAGAGTAAACCCTTGTTAGCATAATGACTGCACATCTCTGTTAGTCCTTGCCTAAAATTAAAATCAGTCTTGCAGTGCTATTGTATTGGTTGCTGATTCAAAGCTTTTTCAGAAGTATAAGCAAGAGCTTAGTATTAAAGGAAAAATAGATCAGTTGTTAAAGAAAATTTGTAAATTAATTCAACATTCTGATTTTCCAGTGTGATTAGTAGTGAAGTAAGTCTCTCTGCTATTCTTTGCCTTTGAGTTTGAAAAACTAGATGGGTGTTAAAACTTACAATTGTACCTAATGTTTCCTTTTTTTAACAGAGTTTTCCTTCTTCGATCCCAATGATGCAGCATGCCAAGAAATACTTTTCAACCCCAAAACATCAGTTTCTGAATTGTTTGCTATCTTAAGGCAGTGGGTTCCACAGGTCCAGCAGAATATTGATATTATTGGGAATGAGGTGAGGTATAAATGAAGATCCTTGGATGCTTTCAATGTTAAAGAAAGACTATGTTGACAATGAATAAACCCAGTTCATTCGGAAGCAGAACTAATCATGAACACAGATACAGTTTCTGCCTTTTAATAAGTAGTACTGATCAGTGCCTTGTATTCCACATCTTGTCAGCTTTCATTTGGAAGGGAAAGATGATGGTTAAAAATTCAGTACATTTGGTTACATGGTAGAAACAATGTTTTTTCTCTAAACAATTGTTTAGAGACCCTTCATCTTGGAGTTTGTTTCCTGCTTAGCAGTAATCGTAAACTCCAATATATGTAGTTACAGTGAAGCCTGATCTTAAGGGCAATGTTTCCAAGGCACAAAATGAGTTAGGAACTGAAATCTCTTTGCAGCCTGCAATAGGCTGCTCTCAGAAGACACCTTGTTTCTAGTAATTCCATCCTACTTTCCTATTTTTCTTCTTCTGGATTACAGGCTTTTCTAGACAGGTGGGGAGGTATAGTAAAGATTCTTCCTTCCATAGTGTAACTGGGGGGGCTTTTTGTGGGGAGGGAGTGGGGGATGGTTGAGAGATCAAAGACCAAGGGGAGAGACTTCATAAATAATGTCATTTTCCTGTTGTTCAGTTAAGCAGTGAACTTTTCAGCATGTCAAATGCATGTTAAAAGTAATAATAGAAAGAAGCTTTAAAATCTGTAAACAATGAAGGTTAATGGTATTCATATAATACTGTTTATTTCATTTGTACATGTCGCTCAGTTCTGCAGTTGCAGGCTTCTTTGTTATTAACCACTGAAATTAATCCAGGAGTCAATAAATCGGAAGTAACTTACTAAAAAATACTGATGTCAGAGATATGCCAGAGCTAAAATGTGCTTGTTTTCCACTTGCCTGTTAGATCATTAAAAGGGGCTGCAGTGTGAATGACAGAGATGGACTGACTGATATGACTCTCTTGCATTACACTTGCAAATCAGGGGCTCATGGTATTGGTGAGTAAAGAAACATCATTACCGATGTAAAAACCTAATTAATGCACAAAGGGTAATCCCACAAACTATTACAGAATGTTTCCTTATAGTAGATATTTTCTTTTTTTTTTTTTTAGTGCTTGGTTTTGGCTCTTTTAGTGACCATCAGAAAGGAAGATAGAGATCTGTAGTGCAATTTGGAGGAAGTTGAGTTACTGGTATAGGTATGGCAAACAGTAGTACCAGCTTAAACATATGTTTAATGTAGCAAAGGCTGTTTCAGGATGAGATACAAACTGCAAGCTAAGCTATCCACAGTTTTCTTACATCCATCAGTGAAACTAGAATGTTTAGGTGACGGGCTGTTTGTGTTGTGTGTTGTTTTTTTTTTTTTCCTTTCTTCACCCTTACTGTGTCAGAAGAAAACAATAATCTTTGTTTGCATTATTATGATCGTAAGTACTGGAAATAAGAGCATATTTAACTCTGTTTGAACACCCCTATTGGCTTTTCTGTGTTGTGCTGCATTTTTGTTGACCTGAACCCAGTTCTACTCAGAGTTTGAACTAAGCTTCTGAGTGAGGTCTGGCATAGGTTAGCTTTTCTAGTGTCAGCAGATCTTTTAATGTAAACATCAGCATTGTGGTGTGTAATATTTTTTTTCTGCTATCAGATACTGATATCTCTGGTTTTGATGGGTGACAGATTATTTACAGCGAGGTATTAGAGATAAACAGGTAGTGTTGTTATATACTATAGTACAGGTTTCAGCCCTTTGTGATTAAAAGGCAAAGATTTCTGCATCCTAATCCTAAAAAGAAAGGCATAGTAGTTGTTCTGCTGTGAGCTTGAAGGGTTTAACATACATTATGTGTTACACATAAGTGCATGAAGGTTTTCTGAGGTCAACTAAATCTCTAATGCGTATTTTACAACATTTACCTTGCAGGTGATGTTGAAACCGCTGTAAAATTTGCAATGCATCTTATTGATTTGGGTGCTGATAGCAGTTTACGCAGCCGCTGGACAAATATGAATGCCTTGCATTATGCCGCCTACTTTGATGTTCCAGAGCTTATTGGTGTTATTTTGAAACATGCAAAACCAAAAGGTAGGCATTGTTATTTTTGTTTCATGTAATGGTCTGTATTTTGTTACTCTGTTGACCCTAAGCTGGTGTGCAGTTGTCTTGAAGTGTGGGGTTTGTTTATCCATTATAACTAACTAATTTCTAATTTCTTGTTCTTTTAGACTAACTGATTCATTTTTCTTTTAACCTATTTTTTTGTGGTTTAATGCACTCATTCCATTGCTGGTTTTTAAACCTGAGCTTTGTACAAGATGGTAGGGAAGTATCTAATAGAATGAAAAGCAAACAGGTTGATTTGAAGTTGTTGAAGACTAAGAGAATGTGTGCAGAAAACCAAAGAGGTAACTATTCTGGTAAATTCCTAGGGTTTTTAGGATTCCTGAAATGTTGAGAAGTCTGTTTGAAAGACTGGGAGAAGGGTAAAGGAGAAGTGGGGGTTTGGCAATGTCATGTGGTGAAGTAGTGACTGAAGCAACTTTGACATGCTCATTTTCCCCACTTCTTGGCTAGCTAGAAGGTCATGTGTAAGGAACAGTTTGACTTTAGTGTTTGGTATAAATAGATAATACCTTTTGGAATCATAATATGAAGGATTGGTAATTGGAGCCCTATTTATGCTAATGCAAATGGAAATACAAAAATGATTCTGAACCAGAACCATTTGTTCCTAATTTGGTCAGGATATCAAAACCAGTAAGCAATTTTAATAGTGAAATTGTACAAGTGTTCACTTGTTCTACTGAATATCCTTCTGATTGTGCCATTTTGCAAAATGATTAATGCCCTTTTTGACCTAGTTGTAGCTAAAGACTCTCTCTCAAAATTCTGAGAAGCTGGTAGGTTTCTGGAGTACACAATGCTTGCTTACCACACCTTGAATCGTCATGGAGGTAATTGTTAAACAGCGCTGTTCTTGGTGTGACATGCTTAAGAGGTAACAAATGTAGGTTGGTAACAAAAGACAAAGTAAGGCTGCACAGTAGTTAAGTCCAGATCACACGTAAATAGACCAGTCTCCATAATTTGCATCAGCAGATTAGGTCTTCTTCCAGACCTCGTCTGCATTTGCTGTAATCATCTCCTCCAATGCAGTGCCTACAGAAGTTGTGGGAATTTGCTTGGATTTCCAAGGAAACCACTCTGGATAAATGCCTTGGCAGCTGGCCACTCTTGGATAAGCAGATCATTTTTTTTTGTCTTGGAAAATGTATAAAACAATGGATGGTCTGAATTAATAGAAACAATAATCTTAGCTCCATACTTGATCAGGCAGTTTGCAGAGAGGGGAGGATGTGTGTAGAAGGCAAATATGCCTTGGATGGATCAATACTGAACTGGACTAAAAATGGTTGTTAACAGATAAATAACTTGTCAAGACAGTGGTGTACTGACTCTGAGACGCCCATTGTGAAACAGCCAGTACCACAGACGTTTCCTTTTGGTTTACTGCTAAACTATTTCCTTTCTGACGCTCTGCAGTTAAATTCTGTATACAGATTTACTCCTCAGTTGTTAGAACTAAGCGCCAGTTTGATCTTAGATTTTTAGAGATTTTATATATGAAAATTGCTAAAGTCTTAAGAACTAGAAATATTGTGTGATGCCATTAGACAATGACTGTAACCTGCATGGGATGCTAATGATAGACTGTTGCTGCATATTAATTTCCACTAGATAGTTTGGGGGTGGCTACTGGGCAACATTTGATATACATATGTGTGTGTTTGTCACCTGTACTCTGCCAACTTAGATCTAGAGAAAAGCTGTAAGAAGACAGTGTTTAAAAACTCCAGGCATGAAGCTTGCAAGTCTGAGGAAGTCACATTCGTCTAATTAAAAAAAAAATAAATCTACACATCAGTTACTTTTAAAAAAAGAGGACTACGTGCAGCTGTTGCTGACTCATTAGCTGACGTAACTGATCCATATTTCTGCCAATTGGTTCCTATGTTTGCCAAAAATACTTACTTGGTAGCCTTATTAAACATGGAATTTTAATATACGTGGAAGTACAACTACACAGCTTCTACTCAGTTTTAGACTGGTAATGGTCTTTTGACATTTGATATGTAAAAGGTACATGTGCATACGTAGCTGACATCATCTGAATCATGTGAATGCAATCTTCTTCACATGTGTGCCAATTAAATTTAAAATAGCTAAGTTTGTGTTCATATTAATGCAATTGTAAAACTGTTTAAAATTTGGTCCCAAATTTGGTGTCTTTGATCTTTGTAAAATGTTCTTCAGAACACTGACTCTTCAATCTTCATTAGTATGTGTAAAGTTGACATCTATATACATACATATATATTTATGTATCTTCGATGTATGTTGATGTTTTATGTGCCCCCAAAATACTGATTTAGTATAACTATGTAAGGATGTTGATACCGTTGGCATATACTTTGTTTATCACATTATGAGAAGGGCTAGTGGTTTGTGGGACAGAGACTGATACTGGACAATATTAGGAGACTGTACAGCCCTGAGGTGGAAACTTTTGTGTTGCTCACCAGTATTTCAAATGGAAACATTATTGCTAATACTTGTTGGCTTTTGGTTTGCGTATTAAATCAACTGGCATTTTTAATTAACAGTCGTATACGTAATTGACTCAAGCTGACATCTCTCTTGTATAGTTTAGGAGCAGAGCGAAAGCCTAAATAGACATTAAAACTCCAATCTTCTAGAACAGTAATAACTTCATAGCAGACTGGAAGATATATTGGGAACAATTGATGGAAACACACATTATGCTAACTCTCTTCTAGTCAGATGCAGCGCTCCATTTTCGAAACTATCAGTGAAAGACCCTTTGGAGTGCAATTCTTTGAAAACAAAGAAATTGTAAAAATCACTAGCTCTTACTTCGTTCTTGGCCATTGGTAATTAAATCAATGTAAAGCAGAGGTATAATCAGTTTTTCCCTTACCCCACTACCTGCTCACAAAGGAAAACAACTGGTTGAAGATGCATCTAATTTTAACTTTTGATACCTAGAAGCAATAAAATATATTTCTGAAACATTTAATTTACATGCAAACCAAAAGTTACTACCTTGTTAATCTTAGCACAGTAGATTGGGCATCCTGAATAGCAACAGTTTTGCAGTTAAGTCATCAGTATTATAAAATCAATGGAAGTAAATGCTCATCTTCCAGCTTGGTTCGTGGTATGAATAAACAGATGCAGACAAGGTTGATATTCCATGTAGAATTACTTCTTGTCTGCATTTAGTACATAAATAATGGTGTGTCTGTATAAATGTTGTACAGATGAATGTCCTCTCAAGGAATCTGTAGGGTGAAATGTTCACGTAACAGACTTACATATCTCACATGTGATGTTTAATTGCAGATGTGGATGCCACCTGTAGTGATTTTGATTTTGGAACAGCTTTGCATATTGCTGCATTTAACCTGTGTACAGGAGCTGTCAAGTGTTTACTGGAACATGGAGCAAATCCTGCCTTTAGGGTAAGGAGTTAGGTTGTAGATTCACCAGAAGGTGAAAAAAGTACCTGGAAAAACTGAACAGTCTGTCCGGGATTTTGGTTAGCTAAAAATGCATTACATGGAGTGATAGTGCCTCAGAAAGATTACTTATACCTCATAGTGGATGATTTTGTATGCTTTGTCATGCTTGTGTGTTGAGGTTTGCGTTTTTGTGTCACAGTCTAGTTCATTAGTTCAAATAGCTTTCAAGACATTCTTCAGTTTGTTGCTTGACCTTTCATTTGTTAATACTCCTTTGTGTCGTGCAACAGCTGTCATGGCAGTGGTGGATCTTTTCAGAAATACAGGAGTGCAATCTGTGACCTCCAGAAATGCAGTGTATTGCTTAGCAGTAAACTTAGCATAAGTAACTGATAATGAAGAAAGATTAACTGCTCTGCTTACTAACCAAAGAATATGCCTGAGTTAGTGTGAAGTGCTGCTATATGTGTCTAGCCACAAATCTTGGGTTTTGATGACTTTTTGGAGTTTGTTTTTTTGTGGATGTTTTTTTGAGTGTTTTTTTTAAATGAGAAATTATAATTGTTTTAAGGGTACTCAAAAGTCATTATTTTATGTATCACTGATTGTGTGAAATCTTTTGGAACATCATTGTTCATACAGTTCTTCATTATATTCAACCTAGATATCTTTAAAAACTGCTTTTCTTCTTTGTCTCATTGATTAGTGTGCATGTATATGTTTCAAATTCTATGGCGGCTGTATGTTTAAGACTCTGTTGTCAGAAGGAATACTGCTTTGTAGCTGCACAAGCATGCTGAGCTGGCAAAAGGTGGCTCTGCCCTTGAGAAAAGCAATCCTCTGCTGCTATGCTCACTTTTGCCGCCTTGCCTCTTCTCTGCCCCTTACCTTGAGTTGACGCAAAGATTTGCAGGGCACCCAGTGGGCTGAATTGCAGGACTGGTGTGACCGAAACGATCACTAATGTGACAAGTAAAATCTCAAAAGAAACTCCCTGCTCAACCTTAACCCAGCTATATCTTGTTTTTAAGGTACTGTGACTTGAATGGGGCTGAGCTTTTACTTACAGAATGACTGTAGATTTTTAAGGAATGGTAGCTGTTTAATTCTTCCATCCTGCAATAAAGTTCTGACCAGAGACCATGTGTAGAATTTGCTTATATAAGAACAGCAGAGTGTAAATGCTGAGTACGGATTGTAGTTTTCTAGGGTTGAGACAAGAAGATTTATAGGGGGCTTGGGGAAGATGGAGCTTTAAGTCTGTGTTTTAAGGAACCAAAGCAGATATAATCTTGCTCTGCGTCATTCCAGTAATTTCTGAGTCCAGAGGCTCAGTGGAGAGAAATTTGGAAGACTGAGATACTTATTTTTCCACAAATTTTGTGAAAATCAGCAGATCGGAAAAGATCCATACTAATGCCTTTGCTGAAGAAATAGAACTTGCGCTTATAGCAGCCCTACAGCCCAGCGGTGTACTTGCTGTCTGGCCAACTGGCCTTGAGTTAAAGTTAACTCCAGGTGAGCTGGTACTGCAACAACTGTGGCTTAGGGTGGGCATCGCACGGGACATGAGGGGAATCACAGTCACTGCTCTCTGGGAATGGAAAGTGTTTGGAAAGGACTCTGTCCTTAATTCACCTCTCATGGAAGAGTCTGTATCTAAATAAACCTGAACAGATTTATTTATTTATGCGAGACATCAAAACTGTGTATTCTATACATGCAACGTATTAAATTCTACCTTACATTTGGAATAAGCCTCACCAAAGGCTAAACTATACAGTGGGTAAAGATAAATTCTTTGGGAGGTGTTAACTTTACAGTATTGGCAGTACAGACCAGAATTCTTGCTTACTTTCTGAAATCTGTGTTCAGATACGCAGATACATAGATAGGTGTTTTTTTCATGTGTTCTGAGTACTAACAATGTTCTTAAGATTCAAAGTAACTTAGCACAGTTGAAAAGAGGACACTGTAAATGCTAGTTTATATGTCCAAGGATGTTTTGGCATCCTTATTTGAAAATGTGGGTTTTTATACTAGTTTATATTCTAAGAGAAATATCTAATGAAGAGGATAAAAACTTCATAAACTGCTGTGGTTTTGCCTGATCAGGTTTAACTTGTTCAGAACATTAAATCCTGGGCTATGTTATGTTTCTACAGAATGACAAAGGGCAGATTCCAGCGGATGTGGTTCCTGATCCGGTAGATATGCCACTAGAAATGGCAGATGCAGCGGCCAGTGCGAAAGAAATCAAGCAGATATTGCTGGATGCAGTGCCTCTCTCATGTGACATCTCAAAAGCCATGATTACAAACTATGATCATGTCACAGGCAAGGCCATGCTTTTATCGCTTGGCCTGAAACTGGGAGATCGAGTTGTTATTGCAGGACAGAAGGTATGATGAGCAACCTTTTACTACCCTCGTGATTTCTGGGCAGTCAATTTATTTACTCCTTTGGAGACATACATCAAATTTTTGAGGGCCTAAAACACTTTCTGGAAGGTATGAACTCTGGATGGCAGTAAGGTCAGTACTCGGCCCAGTCTTGTTTAACTTCTTCATCAATGACCTGGATGAAGAGTTAGAGTGTACACTCAGCAAGTTTGCTGATGCACCAAACTGGGAGGAGTGGTGGATACACCAGAAGGCTGGAAAGTTGCGCGCAGAGGAACCTGATGAAGTTCAACATGGGCAAGTGCAGGGTCCTGAATCTGGGGAGGAACAACTCCATGCACCAGTACAGGCTTGGGGTGGACCTGCTGGAGAGCAGCTCTGTGGAGAGGGACCTGGGTGTGCTGGTGGACGACAGGTTGACCATGAGCCAGCAGTGTGCCCTGGTTGCCAAGAAGGCCAATGGGATCCTGGGGTGCATTAGGAGGAGTGTGGTCAGTAGGTCGAGGGAGGTTCTTCTGCCCCTCTACTCTGCTCTAGTGAGGCCTCATCTGGAGTACTGTGTCCAGTTCTGGGCTTCCCAGTTCAAGAAAGATGAAGAGCTACTGGAGAGAGTGCAGCGGAGGGCTACGAGGATGGTGAGGGGACTGTAGCATCTCTCTTACAAGGAAAGGCTGAGGGAGCTGGGCTTGTTTAGCCTGAAGAAGAGAAGGCTGAGAGGGGACCTTATAACTGCTTATAAATATCTGAAGGTTGGGTGTCAGGAGGATGGGGCCAGACTTTTTTCAGTGGTGCCCAGTGACAGGACAAGGGGCAGCAGGCACAAACTGAAGCACAGGAAGTTCCGTCTGAACATGAGGAAGAACTTCTTCCCTCTGTGACCCTGCTTTGGCAGGGGGGTTGGACTAGATGACCCACAGAGGTCCCTTCCAACCCCTACCATTCTGTGATTCTGTGATCTGGTTACAGAAAGTAGTGAGCTGAAGAGTTAGGTGTTAAAGTCACTACTGTGAAAAGCTGTTTTGACAGGCATAGTCTGCATTTTGTATCTGTAAACAATTTTTAACAGTATCCTATAGTACATCAGCATGGCTCAGCTTTCATTAACATTTTTGGTGTCACATCAAAATGATGGTAACATTTCCAGATTACCTTGGGAGTTGCCCAGCTTTCAGTTATGAATTTCTCTGGATAGTTTCCAGAAGGCGGTAAAAGAAACCTTTAATTCTGCTTAGCCTCTAGTAACCCAATTTCACTGGTGCAATCTTTGAAGCATTGCTGTGCCAACAGGGTTGTTAGATGGGTCTGTGGAAGTAGAGGAATGTAGCTAATACTGGTCCAGCTCAAATGTGAATAGCTTTTAAGAAGCTACCTTGCTGGACACATTTTAAAAAATGCATTGAAAAAAATGTAACATTGGTATTGCAGTTAGTATTCACGCCTTTTATTTGCTCTGATAGCAAGGGCTCTGAAATGATGTAAGAGTGCTAGAAGTCTTTTGAAGATTTCAGGTATTTTTCTGGTAAATGTTGAAGGCGTTTGTGAGCAAAATTTTGTGTTTGAGTAGCTTTACCTTTAATAATTTTTCTAGTATAACTTCAGGTTTGTAATTATCACAGCTGAAGTGTTCTGAAATGAACTGCACCGAGAGTGCAAAGCCGCTTCCATTCTGTATTTTCATTCATTCTTGAAATTGGGTCAGGAAAAGTGAAGGAATCGCTAGCCATGCAGAAGGCATTGTAACTGAAGTCTGTACAGGAAGCCACTTATTCTTTAAAGACAGTAAGAAGTTCATGGAAGTTTTACAGAAGGCCATTGCACAGTGAAAGCACGGGGAGATAATGTAACTGCAAGTTGATGGAGGCTTTGTAGCAAGAAAGGGAAGAAATTAGTGCTCCTGTGTATCTTTCATCCAAGTAATGCCCATAGAACTGTTTGTACCGTAATGTGCTTACTGTGTATGGGTGAAGCTTCCTGGGTTTGGTTACTTTTTTTTTAATTGAGTATGCTATTACAGTGGTTTTTAAGAAGCTGTTGGAAGCTGCTTTTTTTTCTGCTGCCAGAGGCCAGCAGGCCTTTCCAGCTAGCTTTTTTGAGGGAGCCAAAGCTCTTTACAGCAGGTGGGAGGGGGGGATGTGATCGTGCTTTTTGGTCTTCCTTTTCCATGTCTGCTTTCCTCCCTTCCTTTCTTTGTGTGCGACGAGCTGTTCTGCGTTACTCCCACATCACTTCCCACCCACTTGCTGCATTTGTTGAATGGAGAAGTTGATCTCAGCCTTGCCTTCCCCTCCCCCTTGGTACTCACCCACGTGTGCAGGAAGTGAGGACAGGACGATGAAAACGGCGCCCAGCTGTTAACCTTCTCTTGGGTCAGTTCTCATGCCTGGAATATGGAGGCTGGGACGCGGGCACTGGCTCAGCCGCATTTTTACGAGCAGTGTTCCTGTTCTCGTTCCTGCTTCTGCAGTCTCCTAACATAACAGCTTTAATGAAACTTGAAAGCCAAGCACAGTAGATGCCAGAAGGAGAATGGATTCCTCTCTTGATTCCTACTGCACCTGTCATTCTAGTTGCCTTGCAGGGTAGGAAGCCATGTGAGCAGGTGTTTATGTGTAAGTGGTTTGGGGTCCCCCAGCTTCACTGGCTCCTGCTGTGCTGGGTTATGTTAGTGTGAGTGGACAGTCAGTGACATGTGAGTGCAGGGAAACTAGTAGCTGGGGAAAAAAACCTCTTTTCTCCTGTTCCTGCTGTATCTCTCATACCCAAAATGTCCTCCGTTCCTTGCTTGCACAAGTTCTAGCGCTTGTGCAAAATTGGTGCCTCAGTTTTGCCATCTCCACCTCCAGCTTAAGGTGCCTGCTGGTCCTTTCCCTCTGCTCGTAAGTGCCCTTTGGCTGGTGCCTGGAGAGCGGAGATCTGTTAGCCTGCTTGGCCAAGCTTCCACCGGCTGAATTTGATCTCTGAGTTGGCAGCTAAAAAGTCTGGGTCTAGATTAGCGTGATGTAACTGCCTACAACAATCAAGTTTAAAGGAGATCTTAAGAGTCAAAGAAGAACAGGCTCTGAGTCATGTTTATTTCTTTACAGAAAATGAAGAAAGAGTAGCTGGGAGGTTTTATAGTGAAGAAAAAAAAATGGTTTCTGTTTACTCTCTGAGGGCTGGATTAGACAGTGAAGTCATAGTAAAAAATGAACTAATAGTATTAAGGTCACATGAGATAATGCAAACTGAACAACTGAAAGATCAAAGGTTTTTCTTACTAAAACTAATTTAAAAATAAAATGTAAAAATGAATTTAAATAAATGTTAATTACATCTCTGTTAGGTATTCCTCCCCTGACTGGTTGAAGCATGTGAGCTTTTAATGTATGTTTGTGGAGGCGGAGGTCCACCAGCAAGACTGGTCTGTCTTGATATTCTTGATATACTGTATAGACTCTGAACAGATAAGTAGATATTGAAACAGCAAACAAATGTTATAACATTTGCTGGCTTTTAAAATTTTGTTTAATCATGAGGGAATAAAAGAGTTACGAAGCTTTAAAAAAATAAATATGCTCTGAAGTTACCCCTTTAACCTTTGCAATATATATATAAATACATGTATACTTATATGTGTATATTTATATAATTTTTAATCTAGTATTTCTGTGGGCTCTCCAGTTCAGCAAGATACCTAGCCATGATTCTGGAACTATTGTTGTGGAAGACACTGAAAGTAAAACTTCTCATTAGGCATATACACCTGTACGCTGCTGACTTGGAGTTGTGTTTTACAGTGGTGCTTGCTGTCTAATCCTTCTCTGTCACGAGATCTGTCAGTAACCGCTGCTTTTGTTTAATACAAAATGTACACAGAAGGACTAAGAAGTTTTGGAAAATTCATTGCCTGGCATAGAAAGATAGGAATGTCAATAATCGAGGGAGATGATGTGTCTATTTCTCCATTCTGCTCAAAAGCTTGGAGGTGACTTGCTGTCTCCTTCATAATCTGTACTATGTTCTTGTGGGCGATACTTGTTTAACAAAGTCAGTCTGCATTGATGCATTTTGCTTTAGGTTGGTACATTAAGATTTTGTGGCACAACGGAATTTGCCAGTGGCCAGTGGGCTGGCATCGAGCTGGATGAACCAGAAGGAAAGAACAATGGAAGTGTTGGAAAAGTCCAGTACTTCAAGTGCGCACCAAAACGTGGTATAACCTTTAATTTTTTCTTACATTTTTTAAAACCCTGAATTTTAAAAAAAGTATTGGAAGATTGGAAAACCTTCTGGAAGAATAAATACAGATAGAATAAATACAGATAAGGAATTTTGTTGCTTTTCTTTGCAATGCTTTGTTTGTTTGTTTCATTGATTCTTTTAACTGTTCCTAGTGTTTTGGCTGCAGTTATTTGCAAAGCCACTGAAACAACCAACCACGCCAAAATTCGGGATGTTTCTGGTTATTTCCTTGAAAGTGTGAGATAATAATCTTTCCTGGGTTTCCATTATATTGCTGAAGCTATTTGTTTGCATTGTGAGAATAATGGCCATGTTTCTTTACCTGCTTTGCCTTCCTTTTTAAGACATTCACACTTGTAGTTGTTTTCTAACTTCCAGCTTGATGTATATTATTTTAATCGGTGTTTCATGGACAGTCATGATACACGAAGTCTTGTGTTTTGTAACAGTGGAGACTGAATGTTACTATTAGGACAAAAAGGAGATTCGAACTGATAGTTTCACTGACTTCCTGAATTCCTCTGTTCACCTTGCTTGATAAGCCTTTTGGTTTCACTGTCCCATTTGAACTGGTCCTTCCTACCCTACAAGTGCTTTGACAGCATAGTAAGCTATGATTGTGGCTGAAAAAAACCTGAAATTAATCGATGTAAGAGATAGTAGCCAGAAAGTTTTGTTACATTAATGTTACTCCTGGTTCTTTTTTGGCATATACAATTTTCTCTCTAGGCATCTTTGCACCTCTTTCTAAAATAAGCAAGACTTCTGATCACAAAAAAAGCTCTGTACGAAGTTCTTCCATGCGGTCTTCACCTTTGGTCAAATCCAAGAAGATAGATGTGACGCGCGTAACTTCCAAAGTGAATTCTGGTGAGTATTTTCTTGTGTATTGAGACAGGATAGAGAGATACTAATCTTCAAGAATTAGCACTAGTCCTGTAAATCTTGGTATTAAAATAATTGTTTGGAATTTGTTCGTCACTTGGGATGAGAAGATGGTAAGATACTGCCTGTTCTCGTTGTACGAAGTTCATTAGACTTTAAGCTAGCACTGGAAGGACGTTGTGTGTGGTTGGTTAGCGATTAGAGTGATCTGATGTGCTAATAGCGGTCTTCATATACTCTACAAAAAAAAAAGCTCACCAACTTGAGCCTTTTAAAGTAGTTTCCAGTTGGTTGGGGTATGAGTTAAATGTCTAAACATAACGTGATTTCGTTTACTAAGATCTTCCTTGGTAACTTGAAACATCTCACAGAGATCAGTGAAAATCTAGAAACTTACCTACATACACCTTTATGTATAGGAATTGAAGAAATTTAATTTATTTTCTGGCAAAATGATCAAGGAACTATTTAACTGATTGTGTTTGAGCTACTAATTAAGTTATCTGAGTAAAACCAGAGGCACATTAGAAAGAGAAAGGATGTCCTTGTAATACAGCCTTAGTCTGCTGGTTGGAGGTGCAGGCTCAGTCACTTGCTCTGGCTTAGTCTTTTAGTAATTCACTCAAATTACTTAATACTTCTGTGTAAGTTCCCTCCTTGTGAAGCAAGAATGATGCATCTTTTCTGTCTGTTTAGGTTCCAGGGTGTTTGGAGTACAAACCCTTCCCTGCTGGGGATAATCTGGCCTTGTGCCTGGCTGGCTACATAATGATGTTATTAAATACGTTACAGGAGCATTTCTTTTCCCTTTTGAACCTTGTTTAGGTTCACACACATACTAAGGCAGCACACCTTAAGGGATGGAAGATACGCATACATTCTCACCGAATTTACTCAAGCACCCTAAATCACTCCACTCTTTACCAGTAATAGGCAGAGTGTAGGAACAATGTGCCAGGCTGGTAGAAGAGATGCATTTTGGCCGCATTTCAGATGATTTATGTAACTCTTCTCTAGGTAGATTGAGGAGGAAGTAAGCCCTAATTATGTGTATTTACAATCAGCACAAGATTTAAGCTATTTATAAATAGACATCCTGCATAAAAAGCTTCTCAGAATAATCCATTTGTTAGGACTATTGCTCAGGAGCAGATCCAAGCTGACTACTTCTGTTAAATATTGTTCAATGTTTGATTCAGTTTGTTGTGAACTGTTTGTAACTTATTAAACTATAATGGAAAGGACTGTTTCCTTTGTCACAGATGGTGTGTTCCAGACAGTTTAGTCATAAACTACCTTCTCTGTCATAAAGTACATTTGTGTCTTTGTAAATTCTAAACATTTTTTGGTAAAAATCAGAGTGAGTTATGCATCATCTGCCTGTCAGAGCTTACATCCGCTAACAGTAATCTGGAAGCTGCTGTTTGTGAGATGTTCTTGCGTTGAAAGGTCCGTTAGAATTGCCACGGCTGGCTGATTCACTGGCTGGAGTGGGAGGCTAGAGCTGCAGAGGCAGAACTTTGTTTTGCAGTGTTTACCTGCATCACCAGATTACGTTTCTTTCACTTAAACATCATTCCTGCAATACATTGGTTTGTAATGATCCAAGAAAAATTAATATGCTTTTTGTAGGTATGCTTGTAAGCTGCAACATAAAATATAATACTGTATAGAGATTTTCAGATTTGATTTGTTTCTACTGGATTTGAATAATCCATCACATTGATGATAGCAGGTCTTTTTCAAATTTTTAGAAAAAGGATTACTGTGATCAGATTGAGAAATGTGCTGTCACAAACACTAGTTTTTTGATCTGATGCCTTAATGGTTAAGCCATAAGTTTGGAAAATACAGTACATTTGCAAACTAGCTAGTCCCTGTAGCTGAATTAAGCTGAGACATGTAGTTAAATAAAAAAGATGTGATTTTTCTTTCATGACAGGGAGGGGATAAATCATAGATAAGCTTGTTCTTCATTGAGTTAGGGTAGGAAATTGTCAGAAATGCAAAATGACTGTTCACAAATTGTAACTTGCGTGGCAGTACTAGTTCAGATGCATATCACAATATTGCTGCTCTAGGAGTCAGGCTCTTAAAAATCATATTGGCATACTTAGTTGTAGACTGAACGAAGATTTGGTCTCAAATCTCTCAAAACTGTTATGTGCAATCTTTAATGTAGAAATTGTGAAACTAACACTAGTGAATAGTATACCTTAAGCAGTATAAAAGTGCATGTTGTATATATAATAGATGTAGATGTTTGAAAGATTTAAGTAAAACTCCTTGAACATAAACAGTAATATTTTGCAGACAATTTGTTTATTGTCTGGCGAGATAGTTTGGACTGTTTTAATATGTTAAGGGGTCTAACATCTGTGCTTATCCATCAAAACAATTCTGCAGTCTTATTTTATGCATTTATCAAGAGTCTAAGGAACTACAGAGTTTTATCAGTCTTATCCATGCATCCACTAATCTGCAAATCTGTCGAGCTGATTTTGTACATGACTGTCTTGTAAAGTTATTGCTCATTGTTAGGATGTATATATTTGAATGTATATATTCTTTTTATAGGCCTAAATATGGCAAAAAAAGACAGTGCTTCTGAAACCAACTTTATGGCTGCTAACAGGGGAAAAACTGCACCTGCAAAAGATGGTAACTATTTTTTTTAATTTTTTACTATCTTGACAATAATTTTGGGTAGGGCAGAGGAAGTATTATTAGTGCCTTACCTCTGTAAAAGTCCTGTATTTACACCATAGAAAAAAAGTTGTCTTGCCTGCCTGTACGCAAGTCCCAAGGAGGCTGTACACATTTAGTTTACTAGGAGTAATTTGTGTGGATGTTTGGGTGGTGTTCTGTGTTGCTTTGGTAACAGCTTCTGTCCAAATACATGGACAAGAATATAGACAAGCCCTGAAGGCTGAAAGCTGTCTCTTAGTGACTAAGATCTGACAGAGAATCTGGAGAATTACTTTCTTAGGTTTCCAAGGGAGACCTTTTGCCCTTTATTATTACTGCTTAGATTTTGATGGAGAACTGTGCCTGTATTCCGCTGGAATTTTTATTCTCTCCTATGTCTGTATGTTCAAGCTGGTGTAATAAAATGTTATCATCTAATAGCACTTAACAGTCTTGGCACTGTGTCATGGAAGACTCATAATAACACCCTTCAAATACGAAAAACGAAACTCTAGCTTTGTAAAAAATTTCTTTTACATAGGAATCATTCTCTGCAGTTACCTAGTTTCGGAACTGGATAGTGACTTCCACTGCATCAGTACTTTGCGTGCCGAGCGTTAAACATCAAAGGACCTCCCTTTCAGGGATGTCTTTAACAAACTGTAAAAATGGGGTGTCCTTTGAGGTTTTCTCTGTAAAATCATACTACAAGTGTCGGTAAAAGCAGTGTTTCTTCAAAAGAAGTTGAAGTGTGACTTTGAATATACTCTTCAGAGACAAGCATATTTTTATATCCTCCGTCAGTGCATGGTTGTGAGGAAGAGACTTGGGGAAGAAACTAGCGTAAGGTATTTAAGCATTGTCCTATGTGATAGTTCACAGATGTTTCCAACATTTTGTTCATGGAAGGCACTTCATGGCTTGCGCTTCAGATTCTGGTCTCACAATGAAATTAATTGGCAGTACAGTGGATGCAATATGATATCCGCAATTAGTAGGGCTCTAAAGGCTTTGCAGGCTGTAAGTGATGGGGAGTGGAGTCTCATTTTGGGATCTAGCAGTTTAGATGAGAGTGCCATAAGGCAGGTGCAGAACCTTTAGGAAGATCCAACATCCCACTTGGAAAGTAGCTGTCGCTGGTTCTTTGTCAAACAAAGGCTGTTTCAGCTTGGGATTTTCCTGGAGTTTGTGCTGACTCTGGTAATTTGTTGTGGGTTTGGTTTTTTATTTTTTTTTATTTTTTTGACACTAGGTTTAAAGAGTCTGTTCATGAAATATGCAGATGATGCCTGGCAGAAAGTCAGCTGGCTTAATACCACCCCACCCCACAAAAAAAAACCCAAAACCTTGACAAATTGGGGAAAAATATCTTTGGAGGAAAAAAGATGCAGCAGAGTAAGGATAACTACAAAGTTACGTAGCAAGGCTGAAACAGTCAACTGTATAAATACACCTTGGGAATGACGTGCCTGGTAGTAGTTTTGTAGAAAAGGACATGGGGACATTGAGTATTACGAGGTAAATGTGAGTCGTCATGTCATGCTGTTGCAAGAGGGAGAACATACTGGAATGTATAAAAAGGAGTCAGCCGTGAGATACACAAAGTGACCTGGATGCTTTGCTTGGCACAGGTAAGGCCTGAGCGAAAACCCTGCGTCTAGTTTTAGACACTGCATTTCAAAATAGGTGAATCAACTGGAGAGAATTCAAAGAAAGCACCACAATAACTGGAGGTATAAAACATGACTTGGGAGAAAAGACTGATGGAATTTGTGATTGTGTGATTAAAAAGACAGAAGATTAAAGGGATAAGCCATGAAGCTTTCAAATACGAAGCACAGTATAACCCATTCTGCAAGTGTAATGAGAGTAAGAAATCTTCAGCTAAAACTGTGGTAATTTAGGTTTTTATATTAGGGGGAAAAAACCCCGTAACAGTACAGATAATTATGTAGTGAAATATATGGCTGAAGAAGTCCGTCGGTCTTGCTGATGGGAGGTTTTTAAGAACAGGTCGAACAGTCACCTTTCAGGAGGGATATAACAAATGGTTGTTTTGCCTGATGGAAGAGGAATGGATTACAGGACCTGCTGAAGTCTCTGCTGCTCGCCCTCCTCCTACCTCATGATTTCCCACACAATGAAGCATTTAATGACTGGTTTAGTTCCGTTTAGGTTCTGTATTGCTGCATCAGCAGTTTTTGTTGCGTTGATGTAAAAGTGCTAGGTGGTCTGACTCCAGTGAGCCCATTGCTGGACTGACTTCTAAATACAGACATGTAGTATGTGTTCGCAAACACACACGTATATTTATAGCTTGAACCTGGAGTTGAATTTTGCCCGTTTAGTCACCATTTATTTAGTAATTTGCATTTTCTTCATTGTAGCATAGCTGCAGCCAGTATCTCAGGAGTCTTTAGATTTCTGTCCCCAGATATCTAAGCTTTTGCTTTCACCCACTGCATTTTCCTTTCTGCGGTTCTTTACTGTTTGCCAAACCAGAGGATTAGATTATGTTGAACACGCTAACCCTGTGTTGTTATCAAGGTGCTTTGTGAGAACTAATGAATTAAGCCTCTCGGAATTCTGGAAAGTTTGATAAGCAACGTTGTATTAGTTTTTCACATTGAGAAACTGAGGCATAGACATGTTTTGCTGTACCCTGGCTTATTTTGGGTAGAAGGGGTTAGGAAAGGGGGGAACTGGGGAGAGCCTTGAAAAGGAAGGAGGAAAGCTGAACATAAGTCTTACTGAACAGTTTAGACATCAGGGTTTGCAAATGGAGATGATAATGATTTATTTCCCATTCTTATTTTATAGTACAGATTTTAATATTAATACAGTTGTAATAGAATGTAGTAGGCTTTAATCCAGACAAAAATTCACTCCTGTAATAGCACCTTCCTTCTGCTTCTCATCAAATCTTTAATAGGCTGGATGCTGAAAGTGTGGTGCTATGATCTCTTGTTACTAAGGCTCCCATGTTTTAGTAAATATGCTTGGGACTGTTGAGAACAACTTTCATAGAGTAACAAAGAAGGGTCTTCTGGAGACCTCTTCCAGCACTTAACTATCGCCTTATTCCCAAGGCAGGGTCAGATGCACTGTTCACAGGTGTTTGTGTAAATGCTGCTTAACAACCTCTCATTTTGGCTCTTTACTTTGTATTCTGCCCACTGTAGAGAACTTACAGAAGCTTTGCCTGCTGCTTAAGCTGTCTTTTTCCGAATTTGATCTCTGAAGGACTATTTCCATTTGTGTCTTTTAGGTTGTCCTGTGTACAGCAGCTCTTCCTCGTCTACTACCTCCTTGGAAGGCAAACAGCATTACTGCAAGAAGCAGAACTCAACTGGCAGCACTAAGAAAGCATTGACTAGAACATCTTCTGCCTCATCTAAAATTAGTGCTGGTATGGTCTGTTTTGTGGAGGTGTGTTTTCACAGGTTCAAGTTTACTGCTGTGTTGAATACTTATGAAGAACTACTTTTGCTGTTTCAGAATCTGAGATAGTTCAAGAAAGACACTGGGGAAGTAGTTTAACCATAAGCTGAAGTTTGGCAACATGTAAAAAGTTTTTTGGAATGTCTGCAAGAGGAAAACTGTTCCTGTGGTTGGTCACAGTACCTTTCAACTGCACAGAAAAGGCTGTGGTCCACAGTTTGCATGCTGAAGCAAAGCAATTCTTTGTCTAAGCAAAATTTGCAGAGTGTTGCCATGTGTTAGAGGCACGCTCTGTAGAAGAGAGATCCTCTATTTACCAATGAGTTAGCTCACTGTTTAAGACTTTCTTAAATTTTAAAGAGATAATGTCACTAATTTCAGATCTTGTTCTTGTGTTGAACAGGATTGTATAGGTCTTCTCCAGCTACGAGGAAAAATCCTTTCGATGAAGGAGAAATTCAGATTGGAGACAGAGTACTGGTGGTAGGACAGAGAACAGGCACTGTTAGGTTTTGTGGGATGACAAAGTTTGCACCAGGTATTTGCAATATTCTTTGTGTAGGTTGTAGAATCAATATGGAATAACATACATGTGAGCATGTGAACATGAGAGAACTCTGCGTTCTTCCTCACTCCCTCCAAAAAAAAAATCTAAATTTACTGGGGTTTTTTTTTTTCAAAGTTCTCTCTCTCTCTCTTGTGTTTCCTCGAGTAATTTTTACTTCAAAGCAACTGCCAGGAAAAAGATATGGTTTAAAATGTGCCTTTTAACTAACTACACTAACACAGCTTGAACAGGAGAAATATTTTGATGTTGAAATAGTAGGTATTGTTACAAAGCTTTCTGAAAATCCTCCGTTTAGTCTGCAAAGTGGTATATAGTTTATTGAGATCATATGACTTTACTCCTCACTTTTTCTAGTAAGCCTTTTTGACACAGCTCATCTCTTGCAGTACTAGTACTCTTGTCGTATAACTGTCGCATTCTTATCTGCTTGGCATCTTTAAGAGGGTAATTGTGAACATTTAAATCTTAACTTACAAACCTTTAGGTCACAGGACAGCTGAAAAGTTACAAGCATCCCCAAAAGCTCCAAACTCTACCACCATTTTCTCACCCTTGTCCCTTTCAGCTGCTCCCTCCCTCCACCTTGCTAGAAAACACATTGGAGTAAAGCTAAGTGTTTTCAAATGGGAGAGAGTTGTTCTAAATTATGGAAACCAGTTTTTTTGTAACTAAAATCTAGGTTCTTTATGTCCTTATTTATAATCTCTTTATTGCAAGAGTAATGCAAAACCAGTTGGTAAGCACTGGTGTAAGTACCTAGTTTAAATGAGGTCCATTTGATTGATACATAAGCGGCAATACTCTGTCTTGACACTTGGTGGCATCAATATTTAAAAAAAGCAACGTTGGAGTGTCAAATGCGAGATTGTGGTACAAGCTATGTACTTTTTTCATTCTCGCCCCTTTCCCCAGTTTCCTTGTAGGCAGTCCTTTCTTAAGATATTGCAATTAACTGATTACACTTTCATGTGACCGATCCTACCTTGGTGTTGTCACTTACAAAGTAAACGAGAAAAGGACTGGTTTACCAGATACACTATAAAAAGTGTAAAATCAGAAAGCTGTTTTGACAGTGTAAGTCTCTTCCAGCTCCCCCCAAGTTTGGGAGCAAAATTTTTTGGAGAAAAACATGGTATTGTAAGAAGCGAGGATGGAAAGATCCCAGATCTTCACTGTTTCCAAAAACAGTAATTTACAGAAAATGTAACAGATGCATTTTTAAGTATTTGAATTTTAATATGTACCAAAGCTCTGGAAGTTACCCAAACTTTATTTCTTTTGCTGCAATGCAGATCTTTAGAATTAAATAAAAACGGGGAGAACTTCTGACGTGCTGAGCCCTTCTAATTCATAAGCTGTCATTCCTGTGTTTCTTGAGCTGATAATTAGAATTACCATTTTATCCAGTGCCTTAGTACCAAGTGACTTGAATTAAATTTTGAATCTTTTGGGGATGGATAGCATAAGGACTGCTAATGGAGTGTGAAATTTGGCACCTTCACGTAATTACCTCACATTTATCACAGGTTATGAATGATCAAGCTTATTAACATCTTGATGCCTATTCAGTGTTCTGTACGAGATGACTTACTGGCCAGTTCTGATTGTTACACCCTTCTCTCAGTATCATACAACCAGCCTTGCAATTTATATTAATTATAACTTGCTAGATAGAGAGAGGGAATGAATTAATATCAAAACTTTAATTTTACTGTTGATGATCTCAGATGAGGCATAAACCATGTGGTCAGAGGACTAAAGAGGGAAACTTTAACCACCGCTGCTCTTCTTTCCTGTCTCCTTTTTGTCAAACAGCCACTGCTGTATTCAGCAATGTTCCTTTTGGCCTTAGTGTATATACGTCAAAAGTTTTACCTTTTCTATATTAATTAAAATGTCAATAATTTTCTTGAAAACATATAAAAATGCTGAGATAATGATCTTTAGATTTATTCTGATAGAAATTTTCACACAGTTACATAGATAGTTATTTGATAGTATATAGATTAACTACTATTATTAGACAGTTTCTAACTAGAAACCGTTTTCCTTGATGTGGGTGAATGCCAGCTGTCTCGATGAAGAAAAGCCTGTGGTGTTTTGTTCAAAATACCCGTGATATTACTGTTTTGAAATGTAGGATTCTGGTGTGGAATTGAATTGGACAAGCCTAACGGGAAGAATGATGGGTCCGTGGGAGGCATTCAGTACTTCAGCTGTCTTCCCAGATACGGTATATTTGCGCCACCATCTCGTGTACAGAGGTAAGCACTGAAGCTGTTTTAGTGTTTGTGTTGCCAAACACTTTGTTAATACATTTGCAGTGGGAAGCAAAGTTTTGCAGCAGATATGGAAGAAATAAATGTTTTCTTCTGCTAATGGAAGTTTATAACCTCCATTAAAGACCTGGTGGGTTTTAGATCAGCATTTTGAAAGCAGAGTGTAAATTGGAATACAGCTCCTCCCATTTTTCTTGCAGCCACTTCAAGTGTTTTCATTCCAGGGCCTCTGTTTCTGATACAGCCTGTGTTCATTAAACTTTATTTTTATGACCCAATCCTGATGTGCTGAGCTAAATTTGGTTATAAAAGGAAGTTGCCCTTGGACATGACTGGAAATAATGTTCTCGTGCCAGCTAACTGCACAGAGGAACCAAAGCATTCACCACTTTGTAGTCTCTTCATTAGGTTTGAGGAAGAACATCTGGGGAATGAGGAACGAGTTGAGAGCTTGTGGGTTAGAATTAAGGGACAGGCTCACACGAGTGACATTACGGTGGGTGTGTACTACAGGCCACCTGACCAGGAGGAGGAGGTTGATGAGGCCTTCTACAGGCAGCTGCAAGCAGCCTCACAGTCACAGGCCCTGGTTCTCATGGGGGACTTCAACCACCCTGACATCAGCTGTGAAGACCATACAGCTAGGCAGGCGCAATCCAGGAGGTTCCTACAGAGCATCGATGACAACTTTCTGATGCAAGTGGTGGAGGAACCAACAAGGAAAGGCGCGCTGCTGGACCTCGTGTTAACAAACAAGGAGGGACTGGTGGAGGACGTGAAGGTTGGAGGTAGACTCGGCTGCAGTGACCATGAAATGGTCGAGTTCAGGATCCTGCATGGAGGAAGCAGGGCGATAAGCAGGATCAAAACCCTGGACCTCAGGAGGGCTGACTTTGCCCTCTTCAAGGAGCTACTGGGAGGAATCCCGTGGGCCAGGGCTCTCAAAGGCAGGGGGGTCCATGAGTGCTGGTCGCTCTTTAAACAACACTTCTTCCATGCACAGGAGCAATGCATCCCCCTGAGAAAGAAATTTAGCAAAGGAGGAAGGAGACCTGCATGGTTAAACAAGGAGCTTCTAGCGGAGATCAGGCAGAAGAGAAAGGTGCATAGAATGTGGAAAGAGGGACAGGCCACTTGGGAAGAGTACAGAAACGTAGTGAGAGCATGCAGGGATGCGACGAGGAAGGCCAAGGCTCACCTGGAATTGAAGCTGGCAAGGGATGTCAAAAACAACAAGAAGGGCTTCTTCAACTACATCAGCAGCAAAAGGAAGGCTAGGGACAACGTGGGGCCGCTGCTGAATGAGGCGGGTGTCCTGGTGACGGAGGATGCGGAGAAGGCAGAGCTAATGAATGCCTTCTTTGCTTCAGTCTTCAGTGCTAAGACTGGCCCTCAGGAATCCCAGGCCCCGGAGGTAAGAGAAGAAGCCTACAAAGAGGACGACTTTCCCTTGGTCGAGGAGGACTGTGTGAGGGATCGCTTAAGCGATCTGGATGTCCACAAATCCATGGGCCCCGATGGAATGCACCCACGAGTGCTGAGGGAGCTGGCGGATGTCATTGCTGAGCCACTCTCCATCATCTTTGAGAGGTCCTGGAGGACAGGAGAGGTGCCCGAGGACTGGAGAAAGGCCAATGTCACTCCAATCTTCAAAAAGGGCAAGAAGGAGGACCCAGGGAACTACAGGCCGGTCAGCCTCACCTCCATCCCGGGAAAGGTGATGGAGCAGCTTATCCTGGAGGCCATCATGAAGCAAGTGGAAGAAAAGAAGGTTATCAGGAGTAGTCAGCATGGATTCACCAAAGGGAAATCATGCCTGACCAATCTGATAGCTTTCTACGATGACATGACTGGCTGGGTAGACGAAGGGAGAGCTGTGGATGTTATCTACCTTGACTTCAGCAAGGCTTTCGACACAGTCTCCCATGATATCCTCCTGGGGAAGCTGAGGAAGTGTGGGCTGGATGAGTGGTCGGTGAAGTGGATAGAGAACTGGCTGAATGGCAGAACTCAGAGGGTTGTCATCAGCGGCGCTGAGTCTAGTTGGAGGCTGGTGACAAGTGGTGTCCCTCAGGGGTCAGTACTGGGCCCAGTCTTGTTTAACTTCTTCATCAACGACCTGGATGAAGAGTTAGAATGTACCCTCAGCAAGTTTGCTGACGACACCAAACTGGGAGGTGTGGTAGATACACCAGAAGGCTGTGCTGCCATTCAGCGTGACCTGGATAGGCTGGAAAGCTGGGCAGAGAGGAACCTGATGAGGTTCAACAAGGGCAAGTGCAGGGTCCTGCACCTGGGGAGGAACAACCTCATGCACCAGTACAGGCTTGGGGTGGACCTGCTGGAGAGCAGAGAGGGACCTGGGTGTCCTGGTGGACGACAGGTTAACTATGAGCCAGCAGTGTGCCCTGGCTGCCAAGAAGGCCAATGGGATCCTGGGGTGCATCAAGAAGAGTGTGGCCAGCAGGACAAGGGAGGTTCTCCTTCCCCTCTACACTGCCCTGGTGAGGCCTCATCTGGAGTACTGTGTCCAGTTCTGGGCTCCCCAGTTCAAGAAGGATGAAGAGCTACTGGAGAGAGTCCAGCGGAGGGCTACAAGGATGGTGAGGGGACTGGAGCATCTCCACTACGAGGAGAGGTTGAGGGAACTGGGCTTGTTCAGCCTGAAGAAGAGAAGGCTGCGAGGGGACCTTATAAATGCCTACAAATATCTGAAGGGTGGGTGTCAGGAGGATGGGGCCAAGCTCTTTTCAGTGGTGCCCAGTGACAGGACAAGGGGCAATGGGCACAAACTGATAGGTGACCCTGCTTTGGCAGGAGGGTTGGACTAGATGACCCACAGAGGTCCCTTCCAACCCCTACCATTCTGTGATTCTGTGGAATACTGTGCTCTTTCCTCCTGCATTTGTATCTCGTTCCTCTGCCAGACATGTTCTTGCTTTTTTTTCTCTGAATGTCCTAGCTCGGCCAAACTGTTAAACAGCTTGCCTCAAAATTATACATGCTTTCTTGCTGAGTAAAAGGCAAGTAACTTGAATAAACTGGTTTGCTCTGGGCATCTCTTACTTACCTGCCGGATTACAACTGAAATGTCAGCGTCTCTTGGGGGTGGATGGAGAAGCGCAAGAATCGGTACTTAACCAACATTTAACAAGGAGGACTCCAGCAGTAAGCTGGTTCAGAGTTGAATTGAAATGACTTCTTCATTGTGTCACTGCTTTTCAGACTAACAGGTTCTCTGGATTCTCTCACGGAGACTGCGTCGAGTAAAATAAATCACACTTTTCCAGGTAGGAGCGTAAGACGCTGTGATTTGGCTCAGGCAGCCTACTGCAGGCCACTGTCCCACAGCCAGAACCCACTGCACAAAGCCCCCTTCTCTGAAAATACAATGGGTTTCCAAGGAACCCAAATGCCAGCCAGTAGTCTGGCTGGTCCCTTCCTAAAAATGCAACCTGCAGCAGGAACTGCAGAGAACTGTGTTGTTACTAACCCTACACTGGCAGAAGGAATTCTGTCAGCGTTAAGATTGTTGACACTCTTCTCTTATTACTGTACTGCATTCTAATCAGAGTTAACCATAAATGGAACCTGCTCCTTAATCTAATTCAATGTTCATGAAGGGATTGCTGTAGGGAGGGGTCCATATGAATTTACTAAAACTTGTGCGAGATACTTGAAGTAGTTTTTTTCTTTTTCCTTACCTAAAGGTTTTTGTGACAAGGCTGCTTCCAATTACCCTTGTTCGATTTGTTTCATTTCATTTCTATCCTCTAAAAATTTGAACATGTTATGGACACTAGAAATTTCATCACAATTTCCAAATCGGAGGGGAGAATGTGTAGCAAATGTAGTGGAAGCCCTATAAAAGAAAACAGAAAGAATATGAGTTCATAAAGGGTGTTTTTTGTTTTTTTTTTTAAGAAGTCCTGCACAGCTTACTAACCTTTCCACTTAGGTTTTGGACGCAGTCTAAGCACCACTTCTGCATCCTCACAAAAGGAGATAAACAGAAGAAACTCCTTTGTTAGGTGAGTGTCTTGAGTTTAAAATGGTTGGGTGAGCTGGCTCTTAGCTTTGCTGTTTCTTGTTCCAAAGAAAAGCTTCACGCATGTGTAATATCTAGACATTTACATGTTCCTTTTTTTCTTCCAAAATGGACCAGTAGTAGACTCTTTTTCTGCGGGTATCCAGGTGTACAGTCCTTGGATTCAGGTTGGCATTAAAATTAGTTTCTAGTCATTCATCACTGCATATTCTCCAAATTCTTATATTTTCACACAGCTGGGTGAAGCTCTGAGGGTCTCATTAAAGATCATCACTTTGTCCTGACTGACGCTTGCACATTAGAAGTTGTTTTGGCTAAACTCTTTTAAGCCCTAAATAAAATGTTTCGTATTGCTTAATTTACCAGTACTATCACCTATGGCAAATACTGTAGATCGTAGCATCAGGTGAAAGGAAAGGGATTTTCCAAGTATTCGAGCCTGCCACGTGTCCTAGACTTGTTACTGCTATTACATGTTTTGCTAATGACATGAGATCAAACCCAATTTTTTTTAAAAAGGGATTTGTGGTTTTTCCCCATGTACTTCACTGAATTACTGATTTGCCCTGGATGTTTTATAGGAGAAAAAAAAGACCTTTTTTTTTTTTTTTTTTTTTTTTTTTGACTAACTAGATCTAAGAGCTCTGTGTTACGGCGCAGCTGGAGTAATACCACTACAGGTAACACGGAGGGACCAGTGAAGCTGCACGAAGGCTCTCAGGTTCTTCTGACCAGCTCCAATGAAATGGGGACAATCAGGTACATCGGTCCTACAGACTTTGCACCAGGGATATGGCTCGGGCTTGAACTCAGAAGTGCCAAGGGAAGGAACGACGGCTCTGTGGGGGAAAAGCGCTATTTCACTTGTAAGCTGAACCATGGGGTCTTGGTTCGACCTAGCAGAGTGACCTATCGTGGGATTAATGGGGCAAAACTTGTGGATGATATCTGCTGAGCCAAACTGTGCTCATACCATAGGAAATAGGTATTTTAAAGCACACAAGAACACCATCTAGAATGCAAACTTATTTTTAAATTATTAAAAATGCATTTGCATTTTACATATATATATGTGTGTGTATATATAATATATATTTTAATATATATAAATATAGAGAGATAAAAAAGTTCAGTCGCATTAAGAAGTAAAACCACTATTCTATTTCTCTTGCTGAAGCAGCCCTTGTCTGGGAAGGTTACTGCAAAAGCATCTTGGGTTTGAGATGCTGTATTATTTGAGTAATGTTCCAGTTAGAGAATGTGAGGATCTCCAGCGGTCTCTAAAGTTGCTTTGTGATTCATGCACTATTTAAACGATTTTCCTCCATGTAGTAATGAAGTGATAATGCTTTGCACATTGCCTGCTTTTGACAGAGGAGGTGGTTAATGAGTGACATTAGTCTGGTTACCAGGCACTTTGTCAATTCCAATACCAGCTGCTAGCAATAAGAAAGGAAAAAAAACCCAAAACAAACCTCTTTTTCAAGCAGTTGTGAAGTATTTTTACATTTTATCATTGAGATCCCTGTCTTCTTTTCCCCTCCTGTTCTCCCCTCCAGAACTCAAAAGGGCTGATAAATATAAGTATTTTCAGTTATCCTAGGGAACAGCAGCAATTAAATAAAAAGCCTTGAAAAAGCAAATACGCTGCATGTCAGTCCATATAGTAAAACGCACTTCTTGTGTATGCGTTTGTAGAAGGAGCTACATATAAGAAGCACTCTTTAAAATAATGCACTTTGCACTCTCCTGGAGAGCTTTCCTTCATTTTTAAAGACTTCTTTTTGTTTGGTGTTCTACAGGCTATGAGTATCACAGTTTTTTCAATGCAAATAAACCCAGAGTAGAACTATACATAACAGCCTCATCATAAATATTAAATCTGTATGGCATTGTAATTCCTGCCAGTGGTATGGATTGCATGCAGGGTTTTCCAGCAAGCTATTATCGTTATTTGGTTCGTTTGTGATACGCGGTTCTTTTTGTTTCCTTTGGAACAGTTTCCAGTATAAATTCCCTGTAAGAGTCTTGTGATAAATTAAGGATAGTTTTAGGTACAGCATTGTAACACACCTTGATGTGACATTATTTGCGTATCAGCCTTTTAAAACAGCTAATATTTTGTCCATGTTTTATGCCTATAATGTATTTTAATTGCTGAGCATATGTAAACATTATCCTATTGGGATGGTTTGATGTTCCAGAATAGTGTTTTTAATCTTAAGTGATCTGCTTGCTCTTACCTACTTGAAGAAGTGACACTTTAAATTACATCATAATATCCTATTTTTAGACAGAATTCTGCTGCTGTTACGGTCTTTTAAATATTGCTGTAGCTATTTTTCCTGAGCTATATTTAAAATAATGCATATTGTATTGTAACTTACGGGAATTTTTAATTGAATATAAAAGCTGTAAATTTTGAATGTAAAAAAATTAATGCTTTATATTATAAGATGGAGATATTCAATGATGTACTGAACTTTGTCCAATATCTGTTTCTTGCTGGTATTAGTAAAATGAAACCATGGTGAATAGTATGGCAAAAAGAATTTTCATTATGTTGCTGCAGAATGTACATCCTCTCACTTCTGTTCTTACGCAGAGGTTGGGCGAACAGCATGGAGCAGCACCTGTAGCACGTAAGCCAGAAGTTTCTAGGTCTTCTAGCTATTTGGTACAGAGCTGCCAGTTGTCAAATGATGCGTTTGCACAGCACGTTTCACGGGTTTGTCCCAGCCTTGTGCTCCTTCGTGGGCCATTCAGTTTCTGTGATGAAAGAGTCATTTTCCGAAACGCTGTTTCTGCCGCCTGGTGAGATGGAGTGGATGTAACTGCTTTTTCCAACAGGTAGCTGGTGTTCCTCAGGAGGTGCACGGGGGAAGAAGTGCGTGGGTAAGGCAGCAAGCTCAGGCAGTTTGTTACAGTCGCATCACTTCTGCGTGGCGGAGTTTTCTGATTCTCTGGTAACACTTTTTTTCTCCAGGTGTGTCAGGCTGTACCTGCCACAGCTCTGTAACTACACCTAGGTCAAGTGGAAGTGGGCTCTTGGTGGCCTGGGCTAGCAAAGGCTGCTACCCTGCCTGATGGGCAGTGAAGAGGGCACAGATATTGCTTGAGCATTGCTGTAGTGTGCTTCCCCTTCCATTCCAGCTTCCGCTAGCTGCATGTTTCTCCCAAACGCTCCGGCTGTAATCAGCTAGAGCCCTGTAGGCTAGGGGAGCAAGTCGGGACTGTTATCAGTCTGGAGCTGGTTTGGTAGCACTGAGAATCTTCCACGAGGGAACAAGAAGCACTGTAAACTTATGTGGCCTGAAACAGAAATAAATCAGTCCATTCCAGAAAGGATGACTGATGGCTGTCTTCTGGTTGGTGATGTGAAGGGATTTGTGCTTCCCTAAATCCAAGGTAAGTTGCTGTAATCCTTTTCTCCAACTCTTGCAGGAGGACACTGTGTCATAAAAAAAATTCTGAAAGTAACTGGCAGTGAAGTTTGAAATTAGGTGCTGTGCTGAGGTCTGTACGATCACAGCCCCAGACTGGTTAGGGGAAAAAAAAATGATCCTCAAAGTTCCTACAAACCACATAAATAAACCATTATCTGGTTTATAAATAAATAAACAGGTGGTCCCCAGCAATTCTGTGCTGCCTGTGCAGACTTGGAGGCTTGTCCTTGTTCCACAGCATGTCTCTGAGGTCCAGTTTCAGAACATGTAACTTCTCCAGTGGCCTTGGCAATGAAATCTTCCAAGCCTTGTTGGACACTGGCTGGAAAGGAGAGGTCACGGGGTGACAGGAGCAGGAGAGCTTGCTTGAAGTGTCCCAGGATGGGGAGTTCGTTTCTAGTCAGTTCAGTCCAGTTGGATTCAGTGATCGTTTTGCAGATGTTGGCAGTAACGGTTTTCTGGGCAGGGAGCCTGTGTTTCTGAAGTGTTGCTATCCAGCAAGAGCTGCGGCACAAGGATCCAAAACCGGCACTGCAGATTTGCAAAACATAACCTAGTAGCAGGACCAGCATTTACATCATGGCTTTTACAGAGTTCATTTTGCAGAAGCGTTGTTAAACACCAGGTGGAAACTGAGACCGTGTCCATGAGAGCCATGTAGCAGAGTACTCACCTGCATCCTTGATCCTGCCTTGCTGCCAACAGACAACTCTGGAAAAAATGGAAATTGGAGCAAAGATTTCCAGCCAGCGCCAGATCCAGGCCAGGATGAGGTGACTGTCCAGTGAGTGGCTGTACTCCTTGCAGAGCACAGGAGACCTCTCTTCTCCATTAAGATAAGGAGGAACCAAAGTCTGGGAGCAGTGGAGAGGACAGGTGCCTGCCAGATATCTGCTCAGGAAAAAATTCTTGTCAGCTAAACTCCAGCACTACCCTGCAGGGGATGAGCAGGTGGATAAGCATGTGAAGGAAAACAAGGTTTATAGATAGGTCAGTCCTAATTTTGAGGACCATTTCTTGAGAAAGCAGCTACCTACGGCATAGGAGAGGCACGAGGAGGGTAAAAAAGTGGGCATTTCAGGGCAGGAGCTACCCCTTCCTGTGTGTGTCACAGGACTCGGTACTGGCACTCCACTGTATTAAAACACAGCTTTATAATTTGACCTACGCAAAGTCCATGTCCAGGTTGAAAAAAATGTGCTGTAGGATATAAACATTTAGGAGTGAAAACACCCAAATGCTCCCTTCAACCGTATACTTTGTTCATTTATACCAGCCAGTTTCCCGTAGGGAAAAGCCAGCCTTGGTGGTTTGTAACAGAAAGGAACAGCAGCTTTCTCTGCAAGAAACATGGAGGTATGGTGATATTTGCAATGCAAACAAGTCTTAAACACGCTGCTGTTAGCCAGACAGGTGGCTGTCTGGGCTGAACACCACACCTGCTCCTTTGCGTGGCGGCAGACGATCGTACTTCTGTAACTGATGCCTGGGGACCTCCCTTGGTTATCACAGACGTGAGCTGACATTGATACAACCATGACACGACCCAACACAGAGAAAGCCGGCTACAGTCATTTTATTTGTCTTCATGCCTTGTGGTTCACTACACTTGTTTACAATACAAATACACTATTCAATACAAAATACTCAATGACCATATATTAGTATTTTTCTTCATAGTATCCCTGAAGTGCACAGGCCCTTCCTTTATAAACAATGTTGCATAAACTGCTGTACATGAGATGGACACTCCTATAATGAAGCTTTGTTACTAAAAGAAGCCAGATGCAGACAATTCAGACATTTTCCAGTGATGGGTTTAACTCTGAGACAGACAAACGGTGATGACTGCTGTGAACGGCTGTTTTATGCTATTCTGTGTCAAGGTTCTTGTCACCCAGGGGACGGGATCAGTAACAGGAGCAGACATGCAAAGTTAAATCCCCCAGAGCCTGTTTCAGACCTCTTGCATCATGCCATGCGCACACAACTGCGCCCGGTGGTGCCGCAGCTGCCCCCAGGCCGCGCCCGCATCCCTCTGTGAACACAGGGGGAGGGAAGCCGGTGGACCTGTGACACTGTGCCACCGGGAAAGGCCGACTCAGCCAAACGAACACTGCCCTCACGCTTTCAGCCCAAGGTGCCGGTACCTCCCGTGCTACAGCAAAGCCCCTCTCCCGCCACCACTCCTCCCGCTGCTCCGCGAGGAAGCGGAACCACCCAGAGTCTCGCCTCGCTTCACTTCCAGGCACACGATGGAAAAACAAGGTCCAGTAGCGAAAAGGAAGATGAAGGGACAGCTGGAAAGGCAGATCAGTGGCATCCCAACCTCCTTTAGCTTCAGCAGCTTACAGAATCAGAAACCTACCTAACATCTGTAGGAAACAGGTAACATCTGCGTGGAAATAAGCCATTTTCAGAGTATGACAGTGGTAGCACAGGATTTTCCCAGTCGTGCTTTACATCCAGTAGGTCATGCTGCTTCCCGCTTTTCCACTGTGGAGTGAGG